GCACCCCGGCCGAACGACTGCTAGGCCGCCGCCTGGCCTCCCGAATGGATCGGCTACACCCTGATCGGGCACCCCCGGAGGCCCCGGGCATAGAAACGTACGAGGCGGCCAGGGGGTTCTTTCCCAAGGATCCGGTGTACGCGCGGAACTACGGCCGGGGGCCCCACATGGATCCCAGCCCGAGTTATTCGGGTCAAAGGCCCTCGCTCGTACGAGGTCTCCAGCGAGGATGGCCAAATCCTCCACCGGCACATTGATCAGCTACGCCGCCGCACGCTACAACTGGACCCCGAGGATCCGGACGAGGACCCGGAGCCGGCAATACCGGCCTCACTTCCGGAACCAGACCCACAGCCACCATTCCGGCAGGAACCCGAGGCCCCTCGCCACGAGGAACCAGCCCTTCCTTCCACAGCAGACCCCTCACCGGGCCCGGCCCACTCGCCTCCACGGGCCCCCGAGACCGAACCAATCGCCACCCCGGAACCTCGCCGCTCGACTCGCCCCAGGAAGCCACCAGCGCACCTGAAGGACTTCGTCTGTGGGTGCATTGCGAACCAAGGGGGGAGGGGTGTAATGTATTCAGCCTGACATGCCCGGACTTGCCCGGGCTGGCCAGGCACAATTCCTATGTTAGCTTCAGTCGAAAGACAAAGGATCCGGAGGATCCAAGCCGGCCCTATCAAAAGGGCTAGCTTCCCAGCCGGGAGACCAATGGTCGCCCGGTTACTGTAAATAGCCTATCGGGAGTAGGGGGTGTGTTTAGGTATGCTTGGTGGCAGGTTTTCTGAACATATATAAACCGGCCTGCGAGCCGGTCAGTTGTCTTTGTCCTGAACTAAATAAAGGTATGCTTAGCTGAAATCACTCTCCGTCTGCATACTTTTCAGGCTTCTGGTTAAACTTTTTTCATGGCTATAGCATGATGCATCTAGAACTCTTTCATTTCTCTACAGGGTGGGAATTTAACTGGAAAATGGCAAAGACGATGCATGAGTAGATTGACCGTCCTCTTTCTGGATCTGTCAGGTAATACTGAAGCCTCTCAGAGAAGCTCCCAAACGCTGCCTGTTTCAGATCCTGTCTGATAAATCATTTCCATTATATTCAACAAGTGTCTGCGTAAAAGCAGTGCAAAAAAAAATGGTTCGTGTGACTTGAAAGGAGACAGGTGGCCTGGATATTTGTTTGTTTGTTTGTGTCAATTATTTACGTCCTGTGCTCTTCAGCAAATACGCTCCTTTAAATGTCTCCTGACCAACTCACTCATTTCCTTGCAGTGCAAATAATATGTGCATGTTTGACTTGTGAGTTTTGAGCACTTCTTTTATAACCCTATCATCTCCATAATTGCTAAGCATCCACTGGTAACACAGGAGGACTGCCAATGAGTTTGAATGGACCATACTTTTGGAAAAGGGAGTTTGGAAAAGGTTGGGGAAGAGAACAGCTAACCATACTTGGTCAGGAAAAAAAAATCCTCTCCATTCTATTATTGCATTTTATCCTAGCCTTCTTCCAAGATTGTTCTACCCAGTTTCCCCCTCTCCATTTTATCCTCACAAGAATGAGAGAGGATGAGGGGTCCAAGTTTATCCAGTAAGCTTTGTGGTTGTGATGCAACTTGAACCTGGGTCTCACTAATCTTATTCTAAGGCCCAGGGGTCATTTCCTGCAGGAGCACACAGGAGCGGAGCTCCGGCAGTAAAGAGCCCAGGGGGCGAGCACATGCAACAAGCCCCACCCCCTGCTCCCAGCAGCCCTCAGTCAGAGCAAGAAGCAGCCAGGTAGGTTGCAGAGCTCCCCCCCGCCGCCACCCTGGTCCAAAACAGTCCAGTGGCACCTTTAAGACCAAGTTTTATTCAGGTGCAAGCTCTCCCTCCTCTGCGAGGACAGATCTGCATGCTCCCCCGCCCCAATAGCTAGCAAACCAAAACAGTTCAGGGGAGCCTGAGCAGTGGGTGTTGCCTTCTGACACACTTCCGGTGATGTCAGGGGGTGTGGCACACACAAATAAGTTATGCTAATGAGCTCCTGGACCTCTTTTTCTATGAAATGACCCCTGCTAAGGCCCAATCTGCATTTAGCATTTGCTCAGATGTTTTACCAAACCCACACTGGAACAGAAAAAGATGCGGCTCAAAACCACATTCAAATATCCCAGGCCAACACCATACTGACTGCAGAGTCACCCCTGAATGGCCATAAAATGGCCATAAATCTATGCAGACAGCCACCATAAAACCAGAGATCAAACAAAGTGAAAGCGGCATACAGTCTGGACACTGCCATAAAATGCGACACTCAATCAAAGTGAAAGTGGCATGCAATGTAGACAGGAATTTCTGTTACAGTGTGGGTTTGGTATAACAGTGGAGCAAATGCTAGATGCAGATTGGTCCTAAAACCAGGGCCGGCTCACTCACTAGGCGAACTAGGCGATCGCCTAGAGCGGGCTGGCCCTTAGGGGCGCCAAACGCACCCGGCCCCGTACTCTGGGAGTTTCTTGATTATTTGTGTCTTTCATTCTTCTTAAAATGCATTTATTTTTGAAAATTGGTGGGCGCACGGGGGGGGGGGTGCCAGAAGGGATCCTCGCCTAGGGTGCAAAATAAGCTGCCTAAAACTCTAAGCACTACCCAACACTGGTCCTTCATCTGAGGAAGAAGTAGAAGAAGACTGCACTAGAAACTGAATATGGGGCTTCAAAGGAAGGGAAACGGGAAGTATATGAATCAGTTGAAAGCAGGTGATGACTCTCAGATAATTTGAACTGTTCCACTGAAAAATATCAAGTTTGAAGCAACATGGAATGATAGGAAAGTCCTATTGATGGTGCTTGACCTCTGATGGCTATTTCACACATACAGATTATCACTTGACGGTGCAGTCATCACATGACAAACATGCACATACGGACTTTCTCTAAAAAAAATTAAAAAGTAAGGAACCCTGCAAAGGTTTTTTGCCCATGGGGGTGTTGTTGTAGATTAACATACTAGGACAAGAGTAACATTTTCCAACTAAGCATTCATCTAACCCTAATAACGGCTTAATAAAACTGATTAAATAAATAATGCTCTAAGACAATAGACTAGCTTTGGAAAATACTGTGCGAGTAGAATTGCCTGAATACCACACCTAAGTGGATAAAAAACTCATAAAGAGATCATAAATACCTGAGTGAGTACGGAGAGGCCAGTGTAGTCAAAGAAGGTCAGGCCACTGCAATCTAATATTAGTGTGCGCTTTTCACTGGGAAGCTGCTGTGCTGAAGACTCACCTAAATGATGGGTTAAAAGGTTGTTTTTGGTGAAGCAAGACATGTTTCTGGGATCTTCAGTTAATTTTCATATTGTGATATGATCAAATTTATTTTGGGTAATCAGCAAAAAAAGAGAGATCTTTTCTTCAAGCCCTGCTATATTACTAGGGCTGCTTGTTTTCTACCGGGGGGCAGGAAATCTCCATCCCTTGCTCTTATTTCCCACCACTGCTCCAGCAGCCGGCAGGAGAAACCTAATGTAAAAAAAATCAGTCAGGTAACAGCATGGCATCACTTCTAGGTGAAATCCAGAATCGGCACCAGTCCACTCTAGGAATTACCATTCCTAGACAGGTGAGACATTACTTCTGGGTTTTTCCTGGAAGTGACATCACACAGCCATCCAACAGTGTGTCCCCCCATGTCCCCCTAGACTCTTCTCGTTTCATACTAAGTTCAGCATAATCTTGGTGGTCTTTGGAAACTTATTTGGGTTTGTCATTGAGAGGATTTGAAAAATCATTTGTCCACCACCAGAGCTCATGGATTTCCCCACTGGATTTAAAATTTGATGCTGTGTGATTCACTGGAAACTATGCTGTTACCATAGAGTTTCCAGTGAATCCTAGACCATCTTGCTGATGCCAATTTCCAGCTCATTTTTTCCCATGCCAATCTTCCAAGCAGCAATGGAGTTTGGGGCTGCCGCTTGGAGGTCTCCCACTATCACAAGAGACTTCGCAGCCCTATCTGGTTCTGAAACACAAACACATCCCTTCTATTTTCAGCACCATCATTACTCGTTATTACTGGTCTTTTCTTGAAAAGTGCACCCAAAGAAGAATGTTGGATATGTTTTAGGCTACATTCTTAGTTAACATGAAGCAGTACGTGAGACCCCCAAAGGGCTATCCAGTGCCAAACATTAATTGATTTTGAGGCCTAGTGTGTAACACATGAACTCTAATCCTCTTCAATATGCAGAGGTTCCTTGGGCATTCCAACTGAAGCAGCCTAAAAATGCACCTTCACAGAAAAGTTTCAATAGTAAATGTAATTGTTTGTAATTTAGCAATCAGGCTAGATGATTAATCACTAATATCCTTCAGTGAACAGACTGAATTTGAAAGTAATGTGCTTTCTGGGTTATTTAGAAACAGCATATTTTGATTTTTACAGTTTCTAGGTATCTTTAGGAGAATGCCAGTTGTTGAACTTTAAGAAAGCAGTTTGGTTGCAGGACTTGCTCTCTACTACACTAGGAAGATCTCACTTGTGGGCAGGGTTGACAACCTCCAGGTGGTGACTGAAGATCTCTCACTTTTACAGGTGACCTCCAAGTAACAGGGAGATTAGTTCACCTAGAGAAAATGGCCACTCTGGAAGGTGGACTCTATAGCATCATATCCCTCCTCCAAACCTACCTCCTCATGCTCCACCCCCAAAATCTCCAGGTATTCCCCAACCTGGAGCTAGAAATCCTACACATGGAATTTCAGACAAGTGTATTGACTGTCTTCCAACAAATACAGGGTGGGGGGGGGGAGGTTTTGCAGGTAAAATGATCCATTGGCCCAGAGCCATTTTTAGAACTAAAGGTCAGACTGAAGGACATACATTTTAGCGATTAGAAATTACAAAGTACTGAATAAAAGGGTGGAAGTGCAAAACAGAATGGTTCAAACTAAATACTTTTGACAAATACTATAAAGAGATTTGAAATTCTCCAAAGGAGTTAGGCACCATCCCTATATGGCTTTACATCTGCGTTAATCCTTCTCAAGAAGTAGTCAAAAATCCAGCACCTTTTGAGATCGCAGCTCCAGAGATTTACTGACTTAATGCATAACCATAAATAAGGGGACAAAAAAATAAAATAAAAATATAACAGAAAGTAACTTCCAGTCCAGTGGTGACTAAGAACAGACTTAAAAGGAAGGCTCAGTGTAAGCACAATCCTCTTGACAACCAGTACAAAAAAAATCCAAGAGAAAAGGAAAATCTTTGCCACAGAGAGATAATAAAATACCAACAATTATAGAAGAGGACATCAAAAGCTTTGAATAGTTCCTCCCAATATTTATTCTTTCACCTAGTTATTGATTTAATGAAATAAAAGACATTCCAAGGCCGCTAAGATATTGGCCATGGAACTCCCACAATCATCCTCAAGCTGGTGGCCAATTTTCAGTCTCCCAACTTCATTCTCTGATGAGTTATGCCTGACAGTATGGTACAATAGTTAAGGTGTCAGACTAACATCTGGGACATCTAGGTTCAAATCCACACTCTGCTGTGGAAGCTTGCTGGGTGACCTTGGGCCAGTCACACACTCTCAGCCTAATCTACCTCACAGGGTTGTGGTGGGGATAAAATGGGGGAGAGGCGAATGATGTCAGCTGCTTTGGGTCCCCACTGGGGCGAAAGGTGGGATATAAATAAAGTAAATAAACAAACAAACAAACATGGACAGACAGGCCAGTTCTTTTGCTACTATAGAGTAATGGTAACAGTAAGCCAAGTGATTTGCTTGTTTTGTTATGATATTTGGTTTGGATCAGAGCGGGGTACAAATTGAAAGTATAAATAAATAAATAAATAAATAAATAAATAAATAATGGAGGGAACCCAGATGGAATCTTTGTCTGGGGGGCCCTGGTGGCTCTCAGCAGCCCTGGCTTTACAAGGCATCTGGACTGCTTATACCTGTTTCTAAATGTCTGCATAGTTACGGTAGTTAAGAACACAAATCCAGTATATGCAAACATTCTGAAGTTCTCTGTTTTGTATTTTATTTAATTTGGTCGTTTAATTTTTTTCCAGCTTTTCTCTCTCTCTCTCTCTCTCTCTCTCTCTCTCTCTCATTAAAAAAAGAAAATAATTCAATATATATTTTTAATTCAGGCAATGTAGTGTTTATATGAAGGCGTAAAGTGCAAGGAGAAAGAATTGTGTCCTAGAGCTAACCTGGATATGTGAGAGTGAGTCCCGGATCTATCCCTCCCACTTGGGATGGGAGACTGCCATAGGGCAACCTTCCAGTACACTCTGGCACAGCCGCCTTAAGCAAGCGACTTCTTTTGTGCTCCTGTTAGCCATGCTGGCTATTTCACCAAGTGGGTAGGTGTGTGGGCATGTCTGATGCAGTAGTATGGTTAGGGGGAACACAGGAAGGTATCTTACCTAGATCCTCCCATCCTTGTAAGCCAGCCTTGCTCACATCTGCATACACTCAGAGTCAGTCTGGATGTAATGGAACTGTAGACTCAGTGTGCGCCATTAAACTCCATGCTGGGAATTATCAGGAAAAGTACTGGGGTAAAATGGCCGGTATGGCAATGGTCACGTATAGCACTATGGTGCAACCTCATTTGGAATACTGTGTGCAGTTCCGATTGCCATATCTGCAAAAGGATATTGCAGAGCTGGGTGGTGGGGGTGGGTGGGATGCAACCCATAAGGCAACCAAGAGGATGATGGAAGGGAAGCGCCTTTCCCATAAGGAAAGAGTCTGGGACTTTCCAGTTTAGAAAAAGACAACGGAGCGGGGACATGATATCTTTTTAGAAGGTTTTAACAATTATGCATGTGGTAGAGAAAGTGGATAGAGGGAACTCCCCCTCTCCCAGTACTAGAACTCGGGGGCACCCAATGAAGTTGATGAGCAACAGATGCAGGATAGACAGAATGAAATATTACTTTGCTCAATAAGTAATTACTTTGTGAAGTTGACTACCAGTGAATGTAGTCATGGTCATGACCACAGATGGATTTAAAAGGGAAGTAGACAGATTCATGGAGGATAGGTCCATCAATGGCTACTAGCCATGGTGAATGGTCACTACCATTAGAGGCAGCAAACCTCAGAGGCATCATCAGAGCAGAAGCTTGGCCTCCGTGCTCTGTTTGCCCTTGAGGGCAACTGGTTGGCTACTGTGTGAAACAGGATGCTGGTCTAGATAGAACTCTGGTCTGATCCAGTAGGGCTTTTCTTTTGTTTCTGCCCAGTTTGTTTGGAGCTGGAAATGTGCTAAAAGCACCAGATAGCCATGAGATGGTCCTTTCCCCACACACTCCAAGTCTGACTAAAAACAAACCCCCACCCCCTACATTACACATAAATGAGAGGAAACATTACTCATAGATCTTCTTGCCATGCCTGTTTGACCCATCAACCTACTGCCATCAGCCCCTTCATCCCATCCTATACCACACAGGGTGATTATGTAGATAGAAGTGAACTAGTTTTGATTTTTTTGAACAAGATTTCATCATACCATCTATCTTTTATTGTTAACAAATGTGTTTTTAATGGATATATGAATAGGAAAACTAAATGAAAAGTGTATTGGTATCTTAAGTAGTATACTCACCATAACAATTTCCATTGGGTAATGGATTGAGCAATGTGTTCTGTTCACACTGAAACAAAAGCAAAAGAATGGGATTATCTAATTATAACCTACTCCAGATCAGCACTCTCCCTATCTATCCATCCATCCATTCCTCTTGCCCTTCCTCCAAGAGCTTCAGGGTGATCAATTTGCTCTCCCCTCTCCCCATTTTATCCTTACATCAATCCTATTATGTCACATATGCTGAAAGCGCCTGGTCCAAAGTCACCCTATGAACTTCTTGGCTGAATTGGGATTTGAACCTGGGGTCTTCCAGAGCCTACTCTCTAACTACTACACTGCCCTGTCTTCTTCTCATCACTGGGATAATAACGATGATGATATCATTGTATGGTGTTGTGTGTGGTATAGCCAGGAGCCCTAAAGATTGTCTGGCTGACTTAAGTTCTAGCTCCTTTTAGCATTATGCACCACTAGGTGGGGAGCTAGACTTATTTTGGAAGGGGCTGAGAGAGCTCTGAGAAAACTGTGACTGACCCAAGGTCACCCAGCTGGCTTCATGTGGAGGAGGGGGGAATCAAACCCGGCTCTCCAGATTAGACTCTGCCACTCCTAACCACTACACCATGCTGGCTCAATATTTACAGCAAAGAATAAGTGGAGGACCAGGTTCCAATACACTCAGCTCAATGCAACTGTTCCCTCTAAAGCAGTGGCTCATTTTTCTCAGTAGGGAAACCTGGGTGTGTCTGCAGCACTCAGATTAGCACCCAATTTTTGACTATTCATTGCTGAAACTTAAAAAAAAAAGAACCAAAAACCATCTGTTTTTTTTAACAACTACTTCTGATAGAAACAAAAAGGGAAGGGTTATTTATTTTTAATCCTGACCAAAAAATCATTAAACTCTCAGCACCAAATAATATTGTCTAGTCAAAAAAGCAGAATACAGTGAGGGTGAGCGTTGCTACTGGTGGAGAGATGAGTTCATTCTTGCTCCAGTTTCTTGTTTAGGTACTCCCGTGAATACTCCTACCACAACAGATGATGTAAAAGTGCAACAACCTATCAGACAGTCAAATTATCTACGTCATTAAAGGTCACTCTGGTCAGCTTGCCCCATGATCATCTTCATCTTTGCACTGATCATCAAACTGACCCCCCCACACACACACACACACTGCACTGATCATCAAACTGACCCTCCCCCCCCACACACACACACACACTGGCTTTCAACATAACTTGTAGAATCTTGATTTGTTGTACACAACTCATTTTCTACTTGTGTCAGCCCTTGGCAGAAAGCTGTGTGTGTGTTCAGTGTCAGAGCTACCTGGCTTTATTTGCTAGCCCATTTTGTGTCCTGGTTCTGATCATTGGCATCTGGATTCCTGGTTCAAAATAGGTTTCTGTTTACTTAAGCCTGTGCGCCAAGGTTGTTAATCTGGACCAATTCCATAGTCTCAAAGGCTGATCTCCAAAAGGGCTGAGCAATCATATAATCAAGGACTTTGTGTGGAATGATGGATGATCAGCCGTCCCAACAAATCAAGTTCTTGCTTCCTTAACCAACTCTAACCAAAATCAATAGAAGAATGCTGCCTGCAGCAGTGGAATTTGTGTTGTTGGGGTTTTTGCCAGATCACACAATCTTACTAAGCAGAGGGGAAATAGATATTATTTAGGGTTCCCCATGCCTCATGGGAAGTTTCATAACAATTTACAGAATCAGTTTCCTTGGAAGGGAAGAGAAAGGTGAAAATGTATGAAGTTTCTACAGAATCAATTTATTTGTAAATGTACAGGTTGAACAGATAGAAAGCAAGGAGGCACACAGAGAAAGGTTACAAAGCAGCATTCACATTCATCCACAAAGGCAATAGCAGAATCTCTGGAATCATAATTGTCTGGCTCTAGGTTTAGATTTCCTGCATTGAGCCAAAGAGGTTGGACTAGATGGCCTCTTCCAGGCTAGGACTCTAAAACTACTGTCAATATTTCCTGTAGGAAGTCTTAAATCCTACATCTCAAGGGTTTTCTGAAGAGATAACAACAGAGATGATCAGATAGAATAATAGAATGTTAGAGTTGGAAGGGACCTTGCAGGTCATCTAGTCCCACCCCCCCCCCCGCACTCTGCAGGAGCATAGCTGAAAGATAGTCCTACATATCTACAGCATACCCGAAAGATGGTCATCCAGCCACCACTTGAAAACATCCAGCGAAGGAGCATCCACCACCTCCCGAGGCACACTGTTCCACTGCTCAACCACTCTTACAGTTAGGAAGTTTCTCCTGATATTTAGCCGGTAACGACTCCCTTGTAATTTCCACCCATTAGATCTAGTTTTGCAATCCGGAGCAAGAGAGAATAGATCTGCTCCATCTTCTACATGACAGCCCTTCAAATACTTGAAGACTGCAATCATGTCCCCTCTATGCCTTCTCTTTCCCATGCCAAACATACCCAACTCTTTCAGCCTTTCCTCATAAGACTTGGTTTCCAACCCTCTCACCATTCTGGTTGCCCTCTTCTGGACACGCTCGATCTGAGATGTCATTTACAGAATCTGTAAATTTACAGATCTGAGATGTCATTTACAGAAAGTGTGTCCTCTACCCCTAAGCCTCTTCCCAACAAGGTAAAAAAAAAATATTCATCCTACAGTAAAATTGGAAATACTCATGATGCAGTACAATGAAATTCTACGACAGCACAGGCAAACAATGATCACACTGTTATTAAGCATGCTGTACCTTATTTGTATCTTCAGGTATCTGCTGGGCCCCTGTGTTCTCCTTCTGGATTATTTCTAATAGGTCAGCATGAAACTTCTTAGCATTCAGAAAGACTAATGGGTTGTTCACGGACACTATTCTTACCAATTGTAAAGACTCCTTTGGGATTAAAAAAATAATAATAATGCTTTTTTTAAACAACCAAACCTAGCACTCTTCACAAAATCTCCATAATCCTGGGGCACCAGGCCTCATTTCAGAGACTGAGTAGACTCATTTCATGGAGTCATGTGGGAGGAAGGATTCATTTGTTGCTATGCAGGCCACAGCAAGCTTTGATGAGGGTCTGGATGCTCCTGAGCATTTCCATCCCAGCTACATCACACTGCATGAAATGGCTCTGAATGCTTAAGGGATTTCATCTTTACGCCCAGCACTGGAAGATAAATGAGACTCCCATTGGGTTAGAGGTATCACCCCATTCCTTATGCACTCCATAGTGTTAGCTTATATAAATGTTCTGGAGGACACAACTGGACACATGAAACTGACTCATACAGCATTGGTCTGTCAAAGTCAGCGCTGTCTACTTTAATGGGCAATGGCACTCCAGGGTCTCAGGCAGAAGTCTTTCACATCACCTGCTATCTGATCCTTTTGACGGGAAATGCTGGGAAATTGAACCTAGGACCTTCTGCATGCAAAGCAGATGCTCTAGCACTGAGCCATGGCCCCTCCCTCACAATGCTCATGTATACACAAGGGACAAATGCAGATAGAGAGAAGAACAAGAGATCTCCTCAAACTGAAATTAAGCTTCCTTTTGATATGGAAGAACATAGAAATATTAAGCTTACGGAATCTGCTTCTGGCTTGAACCTGCATTCCGCTTCTTTCATCTGTTTCAAACTTAGTGTTGTTGCTCTGGAACAGGCACATGACAACAGTCAATACAACAGCAAATAAAATAACAGCAAATACAATAGCAATGCATCCACACCACCCTATGTCTCAGATTACTTATCTAATTTTCCTTGCTAATGATGGGAGATGAAGCTTCTTTATTACGGCTTTATGTGTACTTTGGAAATAGAATGTCCTCCCCACCTGGGGAAGTTCTCATTATTAACCCATTGTTAACTGTAAAAGAACATTTACCTTTGACTTGAAGTAAAAGAGGCTCACGTTACAGCTACCGCATTCCTGATCTGGTGCTGCAGCGTGCAAACAGGTGCACAGAGTGGACTTGAAAAGGCAGGTACTTTCCCTAAACTGCATTCCAAACACACCAACAGGGAATGCACTGTGGTTGTCAACCTGGGGTGGGAAAATTCCTGGCACTTTGGGGGAGGAGCCTGTGGAGGTCAGGAATATCAGTGGGGCATGATGCCATAGAGTCCACTGTCCGACACAGCCATTTTCTCCAGGGAAACATCTCTCTAGTTTGGAGACTGGCAACCATAGAATGCGCAAACTGCACAAGTGGAGATGGCTGAAGTTATTTGGCTGCCCAAGGACACTTCACACACACACACACCCAAGGCCACTGCTCCGTCGGCCCAGGAGCTGCTGCAGGTCATTCTCTTTGTCTTCTCTCACACATAGCTCTCTTTTTAAAACAAAAACAAGAAGAACTCAGCAAACCACCTAAGTATAAAATCATTTGCTGCCAAAGCTAGTTTCAAATGCCTCACCTTGGAAAACGGAAAACCACAATCAGGATAGTACAGATGACACCATATAATAATCCCACATTGGCAGCAAAGCAGATTGTAAACACGTAAGTGCTAACCCAGATGCTCTGTAGGAAATAAAAGAACCCCCTCAAGGCAATTAGTTTTAAAAAATCTCTGTTTGTGATCCTATTATACATATAATTGGCATTAATATTTTTAACACATGTATGCAAATTAATCAGGTGTAAATCATACACTCGATCTTCCACCTTACCAGCAAAGATATAAGTAACAACAAGACTTCGCTATAGGGTGCCTGTTAGGTTAGTCACTTCCGCCCATTGTATGTATGTGGCCCTTAGGTAGGAACTGTATGAATTGTATGATGTAAACCGCTCAGAGCCCTTAGGGGGTGAGCGGTATATAAATTGAAGGAATAAAATAAATAAATAAAATAAGACTAACAGCGCAGCCCTGACCTGGAAATCCCAGGCAAGCCTGATCTTGTCATATCTCAGAAGCTCAGCAGGGTCGACTCTGGAAAGTACTTGGATGGGAGACGTCCTTGGAATACCAGCAGTTGGGAGGTGGGGGCAGGCTTTATGCAGCCACCTCTCTAAATCTCCTCCAGGCCCCCAGTAGGGGTCAGTCACCAGAGGTCACCATGACTTCCAGGTGCACACACACACACTCGCACATACACACACTCACATACACTCGTGCACACATGCACATAACCCCCCCCCAAAAAAAAACCCTAACAGTGCAATGCTGTATAGAGTTATACCCTTCTAAGGCTGTCGAAGTCAATTGATTTAGAAGGGTGTAACTCTGTTTAGGTGTGCACTGAATATCTAACAAAAGGGGTGGTGGATGGGAATCCTGGGGAAAAGGAGGGTTGTTCAATTTGAAGCTAGAATGTGTTTTCATTATTGACACAATGAAATGGAAAATTACTGATGAATGAACACGGATTTATCATTTCTTGAGTATTCATGGACCACCATTAAAGGGCTATATGCAGATGTAGCCTTTGAGCCAAAAAAAATTGCCAGAACCTTGGTCTAAAGGTCTATGCACATATACAAAGATTATCCGAGAAGAGAAAAGCTTTATATTCCAGAACAAGTTTTATGTGCAGGCATTCTGTCTTCACAGAAGACAAACTACCCATGAGCAACGCTGGCTAGAACTGCTGAAGACCTACACCATTTTGACATCTCTGAGACTCCAAGTGGTTTTCTCCAGAATGTTAAAGCATCAAAATAAAAACTGCATGACTGGAAAATAAAAGGTTTCCTTTTATAAATCTGAAATTGAAATGGATTCTTTTTTAATTTCTGCAGAAACTTTCAGTTGCTTTTTTAATAGTCTTGAATTTAAAACACTTGCTTATTATTTCTAACCACAGGGCTGTGCTACAGTTTGCTTTCGCCTAAAGCCAAGATCCAAACTAAGTAGAGAACAATTAATAAAAAATTAAATCCAAACAAGAAATATATATATATATATTTCTGTGCAGGAACAAAACAGAAGCTGAAGGATTCAAACCTTGTAGACCAAATTGGCAGAGATGGCTAAACTCCCACACAGGGTGTCTATTGTGGGAGGGGAAGGGAAAGGAGTTTGTAAACCATTCTGAGACACCTTTGGGTAGTGAAGGGCAGGGTATAAATCCAATCTCTTCTTCTCTTCTTCTTCTTTGATTAGAGAAAAGTCTGTATTTACATTTGTGGCTAACCTGAAACCATTTTTAGAGTTTTTGCATAAAGGGGGAAAAATGAACTTATGATATGTGGATTTGATGATTAAGGATAATTTTAGATAATAGAAAAATAAGACTTTTTTGTTTTAATTTTCTAAAAATGTTAGAGTAAGTAACCATAATATTAGCATTTGTTGTAATTGTATGTCTTTGTCATCGGGAAACATGAACGTTTTATTGAAATGCTCTATTCTTTTCTCTCTTTTTTATTTCTTTTTTCTGTACTTTTATTTATTTGGGAGAGATAGATAGTTTATTACGGTTTGAAAAAATCCTACAATAAAATTTAATTTTAAAAAATCCCTGATGGGCTGCTTTATCAGAAGACTGAGGGTCTGTCTCTAGCACACCAGTTGTACGGAACCCAGAATAATGGAAATTATCCTGAAATTACTAATTGGTACCTGGCTGATTTTATTATTTCAGAGCAGAGGAGCTCCTACATAAATCATAGTAGCATTTTTATGCTTCAGAATGAGTCAAATTGAACCTACAATCTCATCTCTTTGCAAGAGCACTGAAGCATGCAGTCTGGGCAAACCGCTTGGTCAGCACATCCTTTTGAAAAGGATGGAGTCGAATTCTAAGGATAAGGCAAGAACAGAAGAGAGGGGAAGGACAATCCCTTTTTATAATCTTGTACAGCAAAAAACAAAGCCACTATTTGAGATGACAGTTATGGATTTTTACAACCCATACAAAGCAGGCCTTCTCCCAGAAATGGATGCCGCACTTCAGTGGTTTTCTTAACACAATGGCTTGGATCACTTGGACAATCTCTATGGGAAAAGGGAGGGCATAATTTTTGCTGATTCCCCCCTCTGGCTACAGACCTCCAACTCTACCTGTTCCTAGGGCATCCCAGAGTATTTGGGGCTTCAGTGAGAGAAAGAGGTGAGAAAGTCATGCTCTGAGGATGGAAATCCCTTCTGTCTATTGAAATTCCCCAAGCCAGTGTTCAGAACCAAACCTTGGTGTTTATGAATTGACCCTCACATGTTCAGAAATGTCCAGAGCTGTAGTAGCTACTAGCCAGCTACTGAGTTGCGTACATTGGCATATATTTCTGACAGCAGCACTGGTTGTAACATGGTTCTCCAACTGGCTTTAACAATTGTCAGCGCTGATATCTGCTACAGGTAACTAGCGGCTTTCATATGTATGGGGATGGTCCACACACTCCTGTGTGAACAGTAAGTTTTTAGAATGAAACAATGTGGCATTTTTGTTTCCATTTGACATTTGGCCTTAACAAAGAACAATATTTAACCATTTCTCTTTACTTATTGCTAAAGTTCTTAGTATATGTATGTTTGATGGCTCTTCCACTGAGATTGTTATTAGAACAGCCAATATAGAACGTATTGAAAGGACAGAATCAATATTTACCTCAATTAAGGTGCTGAGTGTTTAAAGGCACCTCCTTTGGCACTGTGTCATCTTTATCCCAGTTATAATCAAGGCAAAAATATCTGGTTAGCTCTGGCCAAAGCAATCATCTCTTAGCCTTCCAGTCACCCTTCCAGAAGTTTACTATGGCCTTCATTCAGATATTTTGTTAATCAGGATGTCAAGAGACTGCTCTAATGTACAGAAAAGCAGTTGGGACATTTTAAACTCATGGTCATTAACAAGCTTCAGCAAAGAGACTGAAGAAATAGAAACACTGTTTTGGTAACTTTTTTTTTTAAGATGGCAGAGGTACAGATAAAGACTACTTGTCTGCCTTAGTGTCATCGTTGTCGTCATCATCATCATCATCACCCCCACCCTATCACTAAGGAAACAAGCCTATCTGTTATACAGGTTCCTTGCCAAAATAAGGCTTAGAAGAAATATTAGCAGTCAGGTGACAACGAGGTATTTGTCTTGGATCTTGCTGATCGCTATGTTATTGGAACTACCCAGGGACTCTGTAGTTTAGAGAGAAATGCTAAGGAAGTCTACCCAGAGTCCTCCTCAGTTCTACTCAGTTGGGGTTACTCCCAGAAAAGTGTTTTTAGGATTTCACTGTTAGCCAAGCAGGAGCAGAGTTGGATAAGAGTTTATGGGCTCTTATCGCCATGTATAAGGTAATTTTTAAATTATATACGTAAAAGTATTATAACTGGCATTATTGTTGTAATGATATTTATTATTTCAAGCCTATGCCTTTCAAGTTGTAGCCTGGATTCTGTATTGTCCACTTTGCTGACACTGAATTCTTTTTGTAAAAGCACTGGAAGAATCCAGTACTTTGGTGGACTAGAGAAGGCAGACTTGACTCATCACAGTTTTTTGTAAGCAAGGACCAATCGTTTAACTGAACTCACACAGAGACTCTCTGTTGCAAGGTTCTATTCACTGTTATACCTATATGTTTAAATACACAAATCTTTGTTTTATTGTTTTGTATGGCACAGAGTTTTGAGTAAAATAAATTTTGTTTTACATTAATTTGTCTTGCAAGTTCTGTTCCCGATTAAACCTCATAGAACCCCCACGTGTAAAGGTTATACTGGCAAGAGAGTGTGCCTCCAGGCCAAGAAGTCTTTCTCTGAGAATAATGGCATTAACTTATGTAAAAAGCTAATAATGAATGTCCAGACACTTCCACCTGCCAGACTGATAAACATGGTCTTATTTATCTATAAGACAAGCCCTTTATTGCATCCCTTGATTATCAAAAAGAATCACAACATATTGTTTTGAAGTTTTGAAAAGAGCTCCAATCCGCTTTTCATCCAAATGGACTAAGCAAAAAAACCATTTATTTCTAATGTGCTGTTGAGATGGTTTTGAGAATCCCTTGTAGTCCAAAGACAGTTTGCTTTCATTCAGGTTTAACCACATTTGTCTTCTTCAGAAAATGTGTACTATTCCTAGCCTCTTGAATCCTAAAGAAAATTCAGCTGCCATGGAACAATGTTATTAGAATGCCAACCCAAATGACTCCTAGGTAAGTTTGTTTTGAGGAAGAAATAAAGTGTTTGTGATTGAACCCAGGGCATTATACCCTGGGCAAAAAAACCCTTTTCTTTGGTTGCCCAAAAAGGAAGGCAGTGCATGGTTGTAACATGGGGAATTGGGCAAGATTGAGTGAAAAAGCTGTCTGGATCCAATCTGTGGAGTGTCATACCTAAAGAAATTATCCCATGCATTAAAAGCTTCTTTCAGAAAAATCTTCTTAGGTTACGTTTCACTTACCCAATCTATCTTATCCACATTCCAATATTTCTTTAAGTCACGGAACTGTACCAGCATCCCCTTCAGCCCCACAACAATGATGCTTGCTAGAACACACTGCGATGAAAAGAAACATCTGTTAGAAGTTGGACTGAGCTGTTTTCTCCAGAAACATCAGAAGAATCGTCTTTTTTTAAAAAAGGTTATCCAGTTCTCAATAGGGCTGCCAATTCCCCCCGCTTTGGAGGCCCGATTTCCACCCCCGCGGATTCAGGCCCCGGGGGAAACCCCACCCCCGTGTGCACGTCACAGGCAAGTGACGTCATGACGCCGGGCACGCTGGGGGCGGGGCCACAGCCATTTGAGGGGAAAACTCTATGTTTTCCCCTCAAATGGCTGTGGCCCCGCCCCCAGCATGCCTGGTGTCATGACGTCACTTGCCTGTGACGTGCATGCGGCACGCGCACGCTCTGGGAGCCACCCCAGAGTTTCCCGCCAGCTATGTAAGTCGATTTGGCAACCCTAGTTCTCAATCATCCTGCATGCCCTTCACCACCACAGTTATCAATGCCTGCAAAAATAAATAATGCTAATACAGAAGACTGGCACAGGTCTGTTGCAGCCTGTGGAATAACTCCAAACACAATCTGCAATAGAACTTCATGGTAGCAACAAAGTTAAACAGCCTTTGCGATGTCAAATACATTCACAGGGGAAATCAGTGAAGAACACTATAATGGGTTAGGTCCAACCAGCTTTTCTACTGGTGAAAAGAGAGCAGCACCCCTCCCCTTTGGCCACCCCAAAATTTGGGGAATTGGGCAAGATTGAGTGAAAAAGCTGTCTGGATACAATCCATTGCTGCTAGTATGCCCCCACCCCATGTCTAATCTTTCAACCTCATTCCTTGACCAGAATTGTACAGTACGGATATTATCCACCAAAAACAAATCCCTGTGTATACAGTTACGGTCTCATGCTCTTGCTCAGTTCTGTGAAACAGTACCATGAGAGTTCCAAGACTGTCATCAATGGGAGTTGACCTAGCACTTTACGTTGTCTGGTACCTTCCCATGTTATCAGTTCACACCTTCAGCACTAAAGTATAAATGAAGGAAGGGTTAAGGGGAAAAAACCTAAATGTGCCTTTTCATGGGCAACCAACACCTGGAAAACAACACTTTGCATTGCACTGAATGCTCTATGAACAAATGAAGCTGGCTTATAAGTAGGTCATTGCTCCATCTAGCCTAGTCGTGTCTTCTCTGATTGGCAGCTGCTCTCCTGGGTCTCCAGCACAGATCTGCTATCAGAGATATTTCATCCAAAGACACTGGGATTCTTCCCAGGAATTTATGCTTGCAAATATGTGCTCTGTCACTGAACTATGGTCTTTCCCCATCTAACCTTTCTAATCCGTTGCTACTTGTTTCTTACAAGTATGTAATCAATATTTCCCAAAACATACATCTGAAAACATGGGGAAATAGTTGTGACTGTTGCTCAGTCCAGACCTAGGCAGTGCTCAGCTCTAGCAGCTATAGGATAAGCAGACAACAGGCAAATTACAGCTTGCACTACATAAGAAAACAGCAATTACATTAGAGGCAGGACCATTCTTGTGGCTTTTAGGGTTTGGTAGTGTAGGTCATGGATGTCAGGTACAAAATTTACTCCACCTCTCACATGGATGATTGTACTTGCTCTGTTTTTCCTGCCCCCTAAATCACTTCATAGCACCCTTGCTCCAAACTCTTTCCAAGGGAGAAGGAGGAGGAGGAGATTGGATTTATACCCCACCCATCACTCGGAGTCTCAGAGTGGCTTACAATCTTCTTTCCCTTCCGCTCCCCACAACAGACACCCTGTGAAGTAGGTAGGGCTGAGAGAACTATTTCAAGGACTGCTCTTGAGAGAACAGCTCTAAGAGAACTGTGGCTTACCCAAGGTCACACCAGCAGCTGCATGTGGAGGCATGGGGAATCAAACCCAGTTTTCCCAGATTAGAGTCCGCGCTCCTAACCACTACACCAGACTGGTATGAGTTGTACCCCTTTGCTGAAGCTGGAAGCCCTGACTGCAATCCTATGCCTGTTTGCAAAAGTATATACAAGGTACAAAGATTCTAAACTTCTGCAATAGTTCCATATAAAACAGGCAACCCAGTTCAGATCCAAGCAAAATAGAAAGAAAACATTTCTTTTGTATTTGTTCCTGGCACATGAAAATGGTGTGCTCTCTCCCTTTCATAAGAGCACTGCTCCCATTAATAATCATGGAATCCTAATGAAAGGTGGGGCAGTTATTTTTTTAAAAAAAAAACCCAACAGCTTGTTTAAAGAAATACGCAATGCAAATAATCATAATTCTAGAAAAGAACTGTACCATAGGGAGCCAGTATAGCATGGGTCCTATTGCATAGATGACCACAACCACCAATATGCAAGATATTAGACAAGCCACCTAAAAAACAATCAGAAAGGAAAAGCATAAATAAGCACGTTATTGAAATTCTAAAGCCTGTCTAAAACGAGATGAAAGCCCTCGGTTTGTCAAAGTTGCTGAGCATAACAAAACACGGCAGACACATAAAAATTCAAGGAGCCAGGCAAAGGGATTTTGGCTCTCACATCATCTGTGGATTGGAAGCATCTGAGGATAATTTAATATTTGACCTGTGGTGGGTTCCGCCAGCCCACCAAAAGAGCAAATCCATGGATCAAATGCCAATATAAAACGGTTTAATTTTTGATCTCAGATAGGGAGGCAGAAACCACTGAAGAGCAGCAAATGAACAGGGTAATATTTGCTTAAATGACAATGCTCGCTAGCCCTGGACTTGCATTTACACAAGGGACACGATCCCAAGAAAGTTACCAAGATCTCCAAGTTTCATCAAAGTGAAAATGGGGGAGGCACAATAGGTCACACACAATGCATGAAACAAAAGCCCAGTAGCTGTTTTTCTCATCAATCTGAAAAAGGATGAAACAGACAAGTGTCAGGTGGGAAGCATACCCCAACTCCCTCTGCTCCTCCATATCCCCTTCCAAAATTGCTTTTCCCAAGGAAAAGTATTGGTTAGCCTTTTGTTTCATACATTTTCATGCAACATGGTGTTAGACCCTTCTAAGCCCCATCTTAACAATGCTTACTCAGGAAGTAACACTGAACAGCATACTTCCAACCAGTGTTCCCTCTAAGCCGAGTTAGCGTGAGCTAGCTCACAGTTTTTTAGCCTTCGGCTCACACGTTTTTGCCTTAGCTCAGGAACGAGGGCTCCAGAGCAAACTAATTTATGCAGTAGCCAAACTGCTTGCTCACCACTTTAATGCCAGTCGCTCACAAAGTAGGGTTTTTGCTCACAAGACTCCACAGCTTAGAAGGAGCATTGCTTCCAACTAACTATGTTTAGGACTGCGATCATTATGTGAGGGCTTGACGCTGCATTTAAGAAACCTCAGCATCTGGTTTTTCTGCCCTGCCTAGAGACAATCGGGGCCTTTTACTGAGCCTTTATGTTGTCTTCGGGCCCTTAATGTTGGTTCCCAAACACAGGATAGCTTTCACTCTGGCCTTGTCTTAATGTTTTTTCCATCTGCCTTGTTAGAAGGGAAGTACCTTGTTGTGCCACCACAGGAGTTCTTATGCCCTTGTGCTACATGTGCTGCTTCACTGTCCCCTCTACAATGATCTTAGATATATATCTATTACACCCCTCCAAAAATCCCAGGAAAATTTGGTGAATGGTGCACCTCCTTTCTTCGTGCAGACCTTGAATCCAAAACCATGCATAGAGTTGCAAGATTCTGTGCAGCTACCAGAGTCTTCCAAGGTACAGTGTTGAGTCAGTGACACGTATTTTCTTTTTATGTATATTTTAATGGAAGATGGTACATATATTTTTATAACCACTCTGTTAACATATGTTTTATTCTGCCAGTCTATGGCCATATTAAATTATTGGTTGGTTGGTTGGTTGGAAGACCTCTATGCAATGAGAAATGCCTGGCTGCCATCAGCAAGAGCAGCAGACATGTGTCTCCTACTTCTCTCATGCAGTAAAAAACCCACCAAAAAAAATCTCATCTGGTCAGTTCCCCACCAGCCAATGAAGTGGAGAGGAGGTGGGAAAACTCAGAATAAGATGCAGGCCCATAGCCAGGATTTTGTGGCTTGTGGAGCAAATTTTTCTCTGGTGGGGCTGAAGTTGTCAGTGCAAAAAGAAAAACCATTTAGCCAATAGAAAACTGTTACCAGGATAGATCTCTAAACTGCAAGCTGTCAACCACTTTAGATGACAGTACTCAGCTGTTGCAGGTTAATCACTTCTGTCAGCCTAAGCAATAATTCTGATAACAAGCCGGCGGGTGAGGGTGATGACTTCTATAGTCAAGAAAACTAGCACTTAGACAGAAAAACTCTCTTAAAGGAGATCAGTTTAACTCTGTTAGAAGGGATCCTAGAGGTCACCTACTCCAACCCCCTTGCTCAGTGCGGGAATTAATCAACTACAACACCCCACTCTGCTTAAAGGAGTGCATGCCTTTTAAAAAAATGTTTTTAAATGATTGAAAAAAGCATTTACAGGAGAAATTCTTGTGGGACTGTGCCTTTAATAAAGGGGGTAAAGCCCCCCAAAGCCCCACCATAGCTATGGACCTGATAAGATGACATCGTGTCATTCACTCTCTTTTACTAATCATTAGCAAAGGAGAATGGAGGAAGCAACTTCTTCACAGCAGCCATGTATCTTGCATAATTTGGGTTTCTGTTCTTCCTCTTTATTGAGACAGGATTTGTATGAGTGTGAGAAAATTTCATTCCAGGTTGTTTTTTGTTTGTTTTTGGAGTTTAAAGTTAGATTTATTTATTTGTTGTACCAGCAGAACTTTTACTTGTGCTGGAGCCGACTGGGGAATGAAAACAGCCAAGGAGCAAGCCAAGCTGAGCAGCCCCTGCTGTACTATAAGCTATCACTGCAGGGCCACTCAGCTCAGTGGGACCAACAATGGGCATTAGTTCACCCACTGCATTATCCTCCAGACTGGAGCAACACAGGAGGGGACTGCTGGTGAGCTGGCACACACTGCCCTGGCTGATGAGGGGCATGAGCCAAGCAGCCCTAAGGCTTGGGCAGAGTTGCTGGGGCTTGGCTCTGCCCACCAGTGGCCCTCTAGGGCAGTGGCCTACCATGAAATTTCCTGTATGTTAAATGGCCAGTCTGCCCATGTACATATATTGGTAAATGAAAATTTATTACTTTCTGAAGTTGATTAATTATTCTGCTCAGACCATCCTCTCCTTCAGAATAGTCTTCTGTCATTGTTTTGGTCTCTTTTCTTTCTGACAGTCTCCTGTGAGATGATTGGATTCGAGTTGTGGAAGCTTGTACAGAACTGTTCAGGCTATTAACCGGTTTTGATTGCCAAGGCGGAAGACTCTAAGTTTTTCAGAATTTTGTGTTCTTCGGGTGTGTGCAGCCCCTGAAATTACACCAGCACTATAGTTTTCTTTCCTGTAGACTTTGGTCCCGGTCACATTGGTGGGAAAAGCCACGCCGGAAGTGCAGCTTCAAAGGAAAGCACGGCATCGGGATCAGATGCTTCCCCCGAGCCGCCACGCATATTCTGTTTGGCGTGATCACATGGCCGGGGGAAGCAAGGCAAAGACGGGCGAGCCGAGGCTGCTGGAGCATTCATGTGCATGCGCAGTCCCGCAGTCCCTCGAATAACACGGGCTGCCGGGTGCAGTCTGGCAGTCGTGCATGTGCAATCCGGCAGTCCCTCGAATAACACGGGCTGCCAGCACGTCCGTGATCCCACGCCCAGCCTTGCTGAGGATCTTCCGGTAGGTACTACATTTTCCCTAGTACCTTTTTGATCCACGTTTTCGACTGGAAGGAACGGGTTGAGGGCGGGGGCGCGATGCTTGCCAGATGTTGGCATCTGATCGCGCCGGTTTAATCTGCCCTCAACCCGTCCGTTTCGCGGGGCAAATCCTCCCGTGTGACCGGGGCCTTTGTTCATTATCGGTAGCTATAGGAGCTGACCATATAGCCAGAACTAAACAGAGCAGGAGCTAGAGGAAAATACCAGATACGATCTACAGACACTTCTAGGAGGCTTCCAAGAAGAAATTGGGATGCATGAAACAAGAGCAGGAAATGGCCTGAGAAAGGCAGGTGTTTAGCCCACCCTTGTTCTCTTCCAGTCAACATAACCAACAAGAGCAATTCAGCTAACATGTTGAATTGACCTGATCATATGTTCTATAGGAATCAGAGGTGCTGAAATGTTGCATTCTGGATCCCAGATCAAAGTTGCTAAATAGCAGCTCTGATTTACACTCTCAGTAGAACTAGGGGATATAAGATCTTTCTGAAATATATGGAACTTACTTGTTTTTTAAAAGCTACCAAATGCTAGATCTGTCTTCACAATCACTACATACAAGTCTTAGGCGTATGCAAATCAGACAATGCAGTTGGGGAGAGGAAAAAACTATTTCCTGATTCAGTTCACACATCTTAAGAAACTTTCTCTGGTCCTGTTCATGTCCAGTGACATTTAGAAGTGAGAGAGGAAATAGCTACTGATTGGATCACAATGTCCAAGATTGCATTCTTTGTGTTTAAATCCATGGTAAACATTATTGTAGTGAGAAATCTTCGTGAAATAGGATCTGGGAATCAAAACACTGAGCATGAAATGCAATTGAGAATGAAGACAGGTTTTTTTGCTCCAAACACACAGAACAATACTTCTCAACTGGCTGAATTAATATTGACTCTCATCCCTTAACATGTTATATTTTGGAATTATTCCTCCCAAGGACATGTTCCTCCTAATTGAATAAATTTCTGTGGTTAGAAATCAAGTGTAAACAACACTGAAGTTTGTGCTGAAGAAAACAGATATGTCAGCCCGTACCATAAGCAAGAACAGTGGGACACGGGGCAAGGACAGTTTTAGCAGTTAGCAGATTAGCCGAGAGTTATCAGAGAGTCTTAAACATTAAATATAGCTAGGGCACTAACACTGTTGGGTGGCAATATGTACACTTCTCTGAGGCCCACAGGGTTCCAGGCAGGCATGATATGGTCTGTTTAAGTCACCTGATGTAAAACAGAGCTTCCAGTGGGCAGCCATGCAGGGCAGAAGAGCTAGATTCAAGTCCAGCAGCACCTTAGAGAGCAGCAAGATTTCCAGGACATAAACTTTCGAGAGTCTGCAGGGGAAGGGGGCATTTTGGAAGGTTTTCTAGGCCCTGTGAAATTATGCTTGAGCCCTGACAGAAGGTGAGTTTAATATTGCTGCCTATCCCTTAATCCTTTCCAAGCCACCACAGGCTATATCCAACAGACCAGGCTTTGGCCAAGAGTCAACACTAAGGCAGCTCAGGGTTGTGATATTACAAAAACAAAATCCAAATCAAACACCCTTCTCTGACAGTGTTGGAGCCCTTTAACACAGAGGCAGAGAAGAAAGTAATAGTTTTAGAACACTCAACAATATCATTTGAAGAAAAGTCGCATTTAAACTATATGTCGAACTGCTATTCTTATTTGAAAGAAAGTGTTCTTGAAGGAGCTATAAAGTGCACAAAAGTTAAAGAGTTGGCTACAAATGTGGACTTCAAAGACTGACTGTGGCACTAGCAAATTACCATTGCAATGCCACATCCCAGCAGCTGTGAGTCACTGCACCATGGGAATGTAGACATGTGCCACTATGACACTATCAGCCATCACTGGAAGATGAGGCATGAAAAATGTAGAAGATGGGGTGGGACAGAGACCGGATACAACTAACGAGCCATATTAAGTGCACATCCAGAGAGTAGCTCCCTGCACCTCTAGATGGGCCTGTGAGAACTCAGGAAGTTAGAGCAGATAACTTTCTTGTCACCTCCCCCATGATACTCCCAGATCTATTCAGAATGCATGAATCTGTCTTACAGTGAATAGACCATTAAACAATCAAGGTCTGCACTGGCTAGTCAGACTCTCTTGAGCAGAATATGGCCACTCCAGAGGTTCATTACATACTTAGAGTGGAATCCTGATTGCCAACCATCACAGTATTGTAGAAACATTGTCAGAAAGAACAACATGTTAATGGGGTGACTGGATTTGGAAAACTGGTCTAAGGAGAATTGTTAATTATCTTTTGAGTAAGTATGTATGTTTCCACAGCTGCGGAAATGGCAAATCTGTTATAAGTAATAGGTATGTCATAGAAATGTATTTTCAGTTTCACAGCTAGAAGAGTATCAGCTATCTGAGGAATCAGGAAACGAACGCGGTACTGAAGCTGGCCGTATATAGCTGCTACTCCTTTAATGTGGAACTTCTGTTTTCCTGTGGAACTTATACTTTTTTGAAGCATCTGCTCTCCCGAAGCACCTTATACAGAACATTGGTGTACTTTATTTGGAAATTGTCTTTTGTATTAAGTACTGTTGGATCCTAACCCTTTAAGAAATTATAAGAGTGTTTGCATAGGAAAAATAGTTGAACTATTAAGAATTGTTAAAATTGTCTTGGATAATATATTCTATCTACTTCGGAAGTTATTCACGGAGTGTTTGTGTTTTGATACAACCTCCTCCCGTGAGCTCTCTTTTGGATATAATAACCTCCAGGTGGTGGCTGGAGATCTCCTGGGATTATAACTGATCTCCAGGTGACAGAGATCAGTTCACCTGGAGAAAATGGATGCTCTGGAAGTTAGACTATGGCGTTATACCCCACTGAAGTCCCTCCTCTTCCCAAACCCATATAATTCACACCATGGATATGCTTCCGATAATATCAAGGACACAAACCTACAACATGAATTCATGGGATCACATTAAAAGAAGCAGATCCCACAGCACTTCAAGAACATGTGAAAGGGGCCCCAAGATGACAAAAGTAGGTGAAAATGTAGAAGATTTGTATTCTGACTGTATCTGTAGGCAGGATAATTAATAGAACTGGAAGTGGATTCTCACTACCCAGAAGTCATCAGTTTGACTTTTGTTGGGACAGAAACAACATTTTGGAGGTTGTTATCCTTAAAGTTATGTGAGTTATTTATAATATTTTTCATCAGGTTCAGCAAAATTAATTTGAGTCCAGTAGCACCTTAGAAACCAGCAAATTTTGGTAGGTATAAGCTTTTGAGGTTCTTGGTATTTTAACAGAGTTCTTGATATTGGCTGCAGTCACACACACTAAATAATCCACTTTCAATCCACTTTCCAACTGGATTTTGACAGTTCACATAGTAAAATCCAGTTGAAAAGTGCACTGAAAGTGGATTGAAAGTGGATTATTTAGTGTCTCTGACCCTGTGGTCCAATTCCCTACATATTGAATTAGTAGATATTATTTTAAGGAGTGTGATGTAATGCGTGTAAGATTGGTAGATAATGATATAAAGGTTGTAATTGTAATTTTTGATAGGTAGTGTAATTGGTAAGCATTTTTGCTCGGGGGAAGTGTGTGTTTGTGTGCGTGTGGTAGAATGACTGAGCAAATGAATGAGAAAGAACCAATGAAAGAGTGAGAGAGAGAGCTGGAAGTGAAGTGTTCTCATTGGATGAGAAGAAATGATGGGGGGGGATACATATATTGGAGAGAGATAGGTTGGAAAGAAAGTTTGTGTTAAGTCGCTTGCTTAACAAAGTAGTCGGAGAGTGATTCAGCAAGAACACAACTTTATTCTTCAACTCGAACACAACTCCAACATGGATCAGCATCTGATACCCAGAACAGCCTTTACATTGCAGCTGTCCTGCTTTTAAACATTCCCGGCTAATATCAACTTATGAGGTTGCAGAGATAAGGTCCAATCACATTAGTTCCCACTCGGGGAGCTTGCTTGAAGCGATTGGCTTGTTACTTCCTGGGCTAGCAATACTATTGGATGAATTTGGATCCTAGCCCAGGACGAAGCTTAACATTACAGTTCAGTTAGATGTTTCACCACATGTCATGCATTCAAGGCAGCTTTGAATACACTACAGTTTGTGTTAGATCTCTTTAGGCAGAGCTAGACTAAGTAGGTAGGTTTTTTGTAAAGTGAGGTTGTAAGGTAAGAATGGTATTAGCAACAGATTTAGGAAAGATTAGGTTCATTGGGTATGTTGAACTTCATTTTTTTTTAAAAAAAAATAAGGCTTGTCCTTATTAACTCTCTTTTATCAAGTTTGTGTCCTCCACAGTTCCTCTGTATACTGAATGGTTCTGCTGGAATGTAAAATTAATAGTTTCAGGAATAACACTCATGCGAATCAACCTTCATTTCCAAAAGGGAATTTGGGTCATACTTTGTGGAAATTAAGAGAGGCAGGGAAACAGACATCCCTTCAGGGAGGGAAGTGTCACAAGGAGCATCACAGTTCAGTCCCTTTCCATTTTGTCCCATCAATATCACCAGCATACCCGAATCGATGATGTTCCCGAGACTGGCTATGAAGAATTCCTTAAGTCCAGAGTTCAGTATTCCCACTACCACCCAGCCCTACGACAATATGACTAGTTTACCTGTGTTTTTGCTCCAGTGCTGTACAAAAGAGCTGTCCGCCCCATGGCCGCCGCACTCGGTATGCAAAAGAAAAATGAGGGAATCACATTGCTGAGACCGTGAGCCAAGAATTCCTGGGAAGGGTTTTAAAGAGAAGACATTCCTGTTTCTTCTGGCAGGTTAGCATACCCAACCAGCAAAGCACTTTGCTGTATACATTCTGACAATGAAAATGAGGTGGCAGCTCTAAACATAATGACAACAGGACAACAATCTTCCTTCACAGCATGCCCACTCCTATTGCTAACTTGGAAGCATCAGCAGATAAAACAGATATGTCCATGGCAACAAAATGGGAAACAAACTGCACCTCTGTTTTGAACCATAACCAACATTTAGCATCCTTCCAGACTATTGTTCTTTTACACAATGTGCAGTTGTTACACATTTGTTTCAGGAAATCTGGACAACATCCCTCAGGGAAGTGCTTCTGTTGTGGGACTATCACTTTTCTTTTTCAGGACTCAAGTTGAAGTATTTGTCAATGGGAAAATTCTGTGTTTCTCCCAAGAGTGTATCCATTGGTATGTGAATGTCCACGCATCATTGAAATCTGCTGGACAACAATGGTGACATCATTAGTGAGGTGTAACACAAGTCCTTCCCTCAGTGCCTGCATCCCTTGGTGGTGTTTTCTTTAAAAATATATATTTGTTACAAGTTTACAGGCTCCCCTGCAGAATCAAAGTAGTGCCAGAGTGTTCACATGGCTCTTTTACTTTCTCAGTGATAGATCAAAACCACCTCATTTCTAGTCATATTTGTACCACAACACAATTCATTCTCAAGGCATCACCACAAACAACTACCAAATGCTTGGGAGATATTTTTTTTTTAAAAAAATCTTCACCTAGTAAGGAAAACTATAAGTTGTCATCATTCAAACAGCAGCAGGGAGGTAATTCCATAGCTGAGGTGCCGCCACCAAAGAGGCCCTGTCCTTTGTAGCTACCTTTCTCACATCTGAGAACAGTGTCACATATGACCTCTGATGGAAATTTCAACATTTGGGGCAGGCTCACTGGGGCAGAAGTGGTCCATTTAGAGCTTCTTAGCAAGGGTTATTTCCCTGCCCCCCTAGGGTTGCCAAACTCCCAGTAGCAGCTGGAGATCTCCTGGGATTACAATTGATCTCCAGGCAACAGAGATCATAAGAATACAAGAGAAGCCAGTGCTGGATCAGGCCAATGGCCCATCTAGTCCAACACTCTGGGTGCGTTCAGACAGGGGATTTACAACGGTTAGGGTGCCGGTTCCAACCGGTGTACTTATGGGCGTTCACACAGCAAACATCTGCCTCCCGTCCCTAACCGTTGTAAATCCCTTTAAACCGTTGCACTCTGCCACTAGGTCCCAACTGGTGGTAAACTGAGTGCAACGGTGCACCCCGGCGTCTGATCGCTCTCCACCATTCCCCAGCTACTTCCGTTGGAAGCCTGAGACTTCCGGCTTTCCCCCGCCATTTTTTTAAAAACCAAG